TATGCTTGGATTTCTCCCTCATTTGTCGGTTAATTTTTTGTTAATGTCTATTATTGATCGATATGCTTCCACATGTAAACTAGCGTCACCCATACGTCGCCTCAATAAATTTAAAATGATACCATGGTTGATTGGTATCCTTATCATCTCGAGTTGCGTCGCTTCACTTCGTGGACTCATTCTTTACGAGTATAAAAGTGGTTTAGGATGTGTAGTCACATATACATTGATCAATAATATTTTGTATATTATGGTTCAATGTCTGATGCAACCAGTGATAATGCTTGTATTTGTCTTGCTGACTTTTCGAAATGTCCATCAAAGTCGTCAGCGAGTAGTAAGTTCATTAATTTTCTCTGGAGATAGATAATATAATCATTCCGTTTAGCATGGAACAACAAGAGCGTAGTCGAATTCTTCTAGAAAACAATTCATCACTCTGATCTTTACACAAGTTATAGCAACAGCTTTTATTACGTTACAATGGTCGATTATGTATATGTATTATTATATTCCTACTAATGGTAGAACTTCTGAGCAACGAACTATTGTTAATTTTGTTTATTGGCTTACAAATTACTGTTTCTATCTGAACAATGTCAAATCATTTTATCTGTCAATATTAACATCACGTGTATTTCGACAAACTTTCATAAAAAGGTTAATTAAACTATTGCCTCAACATCTGCGTCATCGATGGCGAACATCTCATGCAAGTGTTTCCATACTGATGACTGTCACAAAAATTAATCCACAAAATACAAGACGACATGCAACAAAATCAAGACTTTGAAGACGGTTTAAAAACATTTCCTTTTTTTCGTATTAAATGGATATTGTTCGTCTAGTAAATTGGTAATTACTATTGTTAAAGCAACTTAATCTATCATCATAATATAGTGTAGAACAAAATATATTTTATGAAATTGCATAAACTACGGTGTGGGTGTGGGTGTGGGTGGGTGTGGGTGGGTGTGGGTGTGGGTGGGTGGGTGTGGGTGTGGGTGGGTGTGGGTGTGGATGTGGGTTTCTTATCTTCATACAAACAGACACCCACACCCACACCGACACCCGCACCCACACCCACACTCACACCCACACTCACCCACAGCCATAGCCACATCCACCCATACCCACACCCACTCCCACACCCACACCCCTCCCACACCCCACCCACACCCACACTCACACCCACACCCACACCCCCACCCCACCCACACCCTTCAAGCATGTTAGAAGTTTACACTAAATGTTTTAGCCCTTTTATTGACTCGCGAAAACAATTGTTAATTTTGTAGTGCACGGTGGTCTTTTGAACTGCGAAAAATGTTCAACGAAATGCCAAGTGGCCACTTCTTTTTGCTTCTTTTTTTCAAATAGTGAGACAAAATTATGATAAATGAACAAATCTAGCTTAAATGTGAGAATTTAAAACTTTTGAAGTTAAGCTAGATGATTGACTAATTTTCGCGCTAAAAGCTGAATTCATTCTGTAAATTTTTCTAGTTTGCTGATAGATATCTGTACTCATCTAGTATTTTGACTGTCTCGTTTGAATCTAAATGTTTTACTAGTCCTGAATCCAGATGCACTTTTCTCTAGGTTCTTGCTTTAAACGGCGTTGCAAGATTGTTTTTTGTTCTGCAACGATTTTGAGTTAATTGGACAAATGTCAAATTTCTTGATCTATGTGCCTGTACACAACTTGGAATACTTCTCTAGGGTGACGGACATTTTGCACCAAGTCATCCAGAACTCTGGACATGCGCCCAGGTGTTCGGAAATGACTTTCTCATGTAAAAATAAATCAAGAAAAAATGGAATTTTAGTCGATTTTTTGTGATTAAAAATCGATTAAAATGAGACGATTTTATTCAGATTTTAATCAGATTCCTTGAATTTTAATCAATTTTAATCGATTATAATTGATTATTCTTGTTTTAATGAATTTTAATTGGTTATTTAATTTTTAATCCTTTTTAATCACGATAACCAAAGAATGCGTAAGCACAGATCGTTATTATCTCACGAATTCAGCGATGCCTGTTCGAGGTTGATTTGATGCTGTGTCTACTATTTGTCGACGTGAGGAGTCAGAAAAAGCAATAAAAAGCTATGATTTCTGGGCTAAAGGTCGAGAAAAACGCATTTTTTCGTTAACGCGATTAAAACTGATTAAAGTTCAAGGAATCTGATGAAAATCGTCTTATTTTAATCGAGTTTTAATCACAAAAAAACCGATTAAAATCCCGTTTTTCTTGATTTATTTTTACATGGATTTTGTCGTCGCAAATATTCGACAGGAGTTCGTAATCCTTTCTGTACAGGAGATCTTTATCAAAAATACAGGGCGATCGGAAAAATTACCGGAAATTCGGAATTGAATGATCACTACTATATGTGGAGTAGTGTTCATGAATAGGATTGAAAAAGATGGGATGTTCGTGATCCAATATACTAGAAGGCCATAACTGTTTTATTCTGATATTCGCAATATCTTCCTAATATATATAAACAACATCTACTTTTCTCTGCCTCTACTGGTAAAGCTCTAATAAATGTATAAGATGTTTATCACTGTTGTGCTTTAATTTATTGATAATATTAATAATAGATAGCACTAACATTCTGTGAAAATACAGTAGTATATAATTAAAAGTCTCTTCATTGAAAATTATTGACTAGACGAGTGAGTGTGTCAGAGTGATGTCTTGTATTTACAGACCTTCACCCATGCTCACACTTACAACCTCATTCGTAGTTTGTGTACCATCTTAGAATAACAACTAGTAGATTATTTAACATCGTTTAGAAAACAGCAGACATTAACACATTTTCGAACCACTTGTTTTTAGTGTTACGATTTTCCATCATTTTCATTCCAAATTTCAGCCGAAGTTTACGATTTTTTTCTTTAAAAAATGAATATTCGTTTTTTGTTACAATCTTTTGAACAACTTTCATTATGAACACCTTGTTATTTTTTATTTTTGTTTGATTTTTGTCATTCCTAACTGCCGTACACTTTATTCCGAATATTCTGTATTTTTTCTTATGTTCGAAGATCGTAACGAGCAAATTCTACTAAAGATCGTCGTGAAAAGTTGGTGCGAGGTATTCATTTCCCCTTCCCTAGTGCTCGTATCGATGTAAAGTTCAATTATGACTCATCAGTTTTTCGAAAAGAAACATAAACAAATATCCTTTAAATCTCAACTCGATTATAAACTGAAAAAGCATAAAGAGAGCTAAATTTCAAACGGAGAAGTCTTAAACCATATGTCTGGCATTGATTGATCAATTTTAGTTATATGGAAGACCGACAATCTATTAGAAATCGAATCCAAAAACATTTACATACAACATTCTATTTTCGTGTATAAGCATCACCTTACTTACTAACAGATGTTGATTGTCTTTCTCTCATTGTTGATCAATGACAATACCAGCAAAAACTACGCCTTTGCTATGTTCTACTAGTAAAATTCTGGGTCGAATATCAATATCAGGGAATGACTATTCACGTTACTATCTATAAGGCGACCTATAATATTATAGCTCAGCATCGATTATGGTTAGGAACTTAGTATATGTCTGCAACTCTGAACAGTGAGAGAATTTAGGTGAGGAGATATTTTAGATATGGGTGTGGGTGTGGATGCAGAGAATGTTTATACCCACACCGACCCCCCCCCCC